GGAAGGAAGGTTGGGCAATCCTACTTCCGTAGTGATACTGCCTCGGAAACCCAAGGAGGGGTCGCTATGAGTCAGGTTTGACTCGACGGCACATAACAACAACAACAACAACAACAGGTACTCAGCATAGGAAGCATTAGTTGAATTGACTTCAACTGAACTAACTCAATATTGAGTTAGTTATATTCTAACTAATATTAAATTACATTTTAATTGTAATTGAAATGATAAAGCACTTAGCTGTTAAGAATGTGGAGAGACTAAAGTAGCACTGTTCATATGTTAACTATTACTGACATAATTTGACAAGGTGTATTATGATGTGAATCTTCATTAATGTTACCATCTTGAGGTGAATAACTGACAGGAATATGTTCAGAGGGCAAAGTGAAGAAAAATGGGGAAAGAAAAGGAGAAAACTGGAAAAGGTATATTATAATTTATCAAGATACTAACATTGGCGCCTCATATTTTAACACAAAATGACTAGAAATGATAAAAAAAGAAACCCAGTGTGTGACAGAAGTAAAACGTGGAGCTCTGGCTTCTCTAACTGGCTCTCTCTTACTCTGCTTTTCAAACTTTGGTAGCAAGCTTTTGGCAAATCTTTTTCAAGAGCTGCAGTAAACTCTCATTAATTTGGAAGACATTAAAGATGACTGTAATTTAAATAGCACATGAGCTAAAGAGTCTCTGTATGAAAAAAGAAGAGAGATTTATATTAAGAAATGACAATCTCAGGGAAAGTTTTAAAAAATGTCAAAGAGAGCAAATATATATAAATTAACATATTTTGAAGCATCAATTCATATAGTATCCATTATTATGAAATGGGCAATTCATTATTATCCTTGAAAGGACATTTCCTTATTGATATTTTCTCATATTACTTCTTATTACTCTATGCACTTATAAAAAAATACCATATGAAATCCAGTACTTTAAAAATGATACTTATCATGATATCCAGATTGCTTTAATTTTGTTTTCAAATTATAGCTCCATGCAGATTTTAGTCAAGATTATGATTATAAATTACTTAAGAAAATAAATTATTATGCTTACCATTTAAATCTTTAAAACCCACACTGTAGTTAAATTCCACTCTGGCAGGTTTTGGGTCAGGGGGAGGAAGAGTGTCAACTCCTAAACTCTGTGGAAACAGATACCCATCACCCCCCCCCCAACAAAAAAGTTATTCATGATACAAACATTTTTACAGCATATTTTCACCATTAAATCAAAATACATTTATTGTTCATGCATTTTTATCTCTACCTATATTAAAAACCATATCCTTTCTTGAAAACGTTTTATGTGATGTCTTTTTTTTCCCTAAAGAAAATTTCAACTTATATCCTAGAAGGAACATCTCAAAACAACGAAGAGTCAACTGAGAATGAGATAATTATTATTACAATTTAAATTTTCAAGCATATTTTTATGTCTATAATCTGAGAAGTGATTTCACCTGTTCTTAAATGCAAATGCTTTTATGATAGTGAATGAGTATTTATATGTGAATTTGCTATGGTAAATAATATTCTTGCTCATCTTTTAAATTTCAAAAGAAAACCCATTATTACATAGATGAGAAAAAATCACTTGTAAGTATGTGAAAAAAAAAAAAAAAAGACCATGAATCAAGAAGGTAAAAACAAAATTAGCTCAAGCAAGTTAGAATTAAGGCCAAAATGACTATAATCTCAGCATTGATTTAGGAAAAGGGAAGGAGTGTGCAGAAATTGACTAGAAAAAGAGGAGCTTCATGGATAAACAATGGAGCAAACACGGAACAAAAAAATTGGTGCAAAAAAGTACAAAATTTTCATGAACTGTTTTTAAAGTTATAATTAAGAAGTCTAACATCATAATTAGGGTGTTGTTGTTGTTATATGCTGTCGAGTCGAACCCAACTCATAGTGACCCCTCCTTGGGTTTCCAAGGCAGTATCGCTACGGAAGTAGATTGCTCCATCTTTCAAGGAGTGGCTGTTGGGTTTGAACCACCAGCCTTCTGGTTAGCAGTCAAGTGCCGTAGGTACTATGCTACCAGAGCCAACTATTTTTTTTTTTCCTTTCAGGATTATAATTTGCTCTAGTATTTAATGACATTAGAAGTAGTCCTCTAACAAAATGTTAATATAGACATTTGCACACACACAAAAACAAAACAAAAGGATCCAACAGTTACAAAAATGACCTAAAGAAGACACAGGAAACTGATTTTCAGAAGGAAGTACTTTTATCGTATGAAGCAATTCAAAGCCCAATGTGAAGTGAAGTATGTAGCATTTGTCTGTATCGAAATGGTTTTGCCTGTGAAATAAGTTTAAGTGATACACAAAAACAGAAACATTTAAAATTTAAATTGTTACGTATCTATTTGGATGTTTACTGAGAAAAAATTAAGTAGAACATCTAATCTGCTTGAGATGAAATTTAATTATAAAAAAATCAATTAAAGACATGTAAAGAAATAAAATGTTAAGTAGATTGCAAAGATGGCAAAAATCATGAAGGTGATGTGTGACTGAGTGACGTTTGAGAACACTACTCCATACTGACCTTAAAAACCATATGCTCAAAATTTTATCTCATTAGAAGTTGCATGATGGTGATTTTCTAATTCTTCATTCCTTCTGAATGTAGCTGGACTTCTTTTATAGAGAAGAACTTTGTTCATCAATTATTTGTTTACTCCAAAATACAATTTGACTAGGACTGTAGAAAGACTAAGATAAATGCTTGAGTCTTTCCTTTTTTTTTTTTTTTAAATAAAGTCATTTTTCAGAGTAACAAGTTAATGCACTGGCAACTTTCAATGGTGACCAATGAAGTGTTTTTGTTTATTTTGGGGATCATTATAAATTCCTAGTTCATTTACTTCTTGCCATGTTAAAATTTTAAATTTCTTAATGTATATTTATATCACTTTTATGGGTTCTGAGTGCTGTGTCTTACTTAGGAAAGCTATTAATATTTTAAGATTATATAAAAATTTCTCCTGTGTTTTCTTATACATATTTCATATATTTAGATATTTGATTCATGGAACTCATCTGAGTATATAGTGTGAGGCAGAAATCCAGCATTTCATTTCCCAGGTGTGTTATTCCAATTCAATTTATTAAATGTATCAAATAATCCTTCTTTTCCTACTTATTTAAGATGCTAACTCTATAAGATTTTTAAATTCCTATATATATTTGGAAGGCGCTCTGGTGGCATAGTGGGGAAAGCATTTGGCTGCTAACCAGAAGGTGAATGGTTCAAATCCACCAGCAGCCGCTGTGTGTGAAGATGAGGCAATCTACTTCTGTAAAGATTTACAGTCTTGGAAACTCAATAGGGGTTGCTATGAGATGGAATCGACTCAGTGTCAGTGAGTATATGTATTTGGATCAAATTCTGTTTCACTAATCCGGTTTAGTCATCCTCACTTTCAATGAATAAGGAAGACTGAAGAAGAGCTGATACTTTTGAATCATGGTCTTAGCAAAGAATACTGAAAGTACCATGGACTGCCAAAAGAACTCACAAATATGTCCTGGGAGAGGTGCAGCCAGAATGCTCCTTGGAAGCAAGAATTGCTGGACTTTATCTCACTTACTTTGGTCATGTTGTTAGAAAGGACCATTCCTTGGAGAAGGATATCATGCTTGGTAAAGTAGAGGGTTAACAAAAAAGGGGAAGGCCCTCAACAAGATGGATTGACACAGTGGCTCCAACAATGGGCTTGGCTATAGCAAGGATTGTGAGACTGGCACAGGACTGGGCAGTGTTTTGTTCTGTTGTACATAGGGTCCCTATGAGTTGGAGTTGACTTGATGGTACCTAACAACAACAACAGTCTGGTTTAGAGGAGTTCTGGTGGCACAGTATTTAAGGTATTTGACTGCTAACCAAAAGGTTAGCAGTTCGAACCCACCAGCTACTCCATGGGAGAAAGATGAGGCAGTCTGCTTCCTTAAAGATTTATAGCCTTGGAAACCCTATGGAACAGTTCTACTCTGTCCTACAGGGTCACTATGAGTCAGAATTGGTGGCAATGGGAATCTCGTTTAATATATCATTACTCATTTTTTTTTTTCAAATTTTCCCGGTTATTTATGCATTTACATTTTTCCTGTATAAACAGCAGAACTGACTTGGTTCCCTTTCCACACACAACTTCCAGTTAATAAGTTAATATATGTATCGGTTTCCCGAGTGTTTGTGTGTATGTATGTAGTATTTATAAAAGGCAGTACATTTAGTTTTCAGGAAACTACTGCCTTTTCTAATTAAATGGGAACACAAAAACCATACAATGTAATTGTTTTCAGTTGATTTTTTGTGTTTTCTAGAGCAATACAGTGGATGCTGTATTGACTTCCAAATTGTTTCACAATGAATTTCAAAATGTTAACTACTAAAAGTCCTTTTCTGAGACCACATAGATGAACATTTGCAATCTAAGTGGAAAAAGGGGAGGAGGAAAGGAGAAATGACAAAGATTTTCTGTCGTTTTGGCAGCTTTAAGATTGCTCCCAGATTCTGAGTGACTGTAAACCAAATTAGGGGATGCCTCCTGGCATTACAAATATGTTCCTTCCTTCCTCTTTCTCCCCAGAGTTGAAGTGACTTGAGGGGCAAGGCATGATGTGTGCCAGGATGTGGAGAAATGCATAATCCTGGGTGGACTCGGACAGAATGAAGTGTTGAAAGAGGTACAAATCTTGTTCCTTTTCTTTCCTTTCTTCAAACTTTGAGCTAACATTTATTTATCTGAAGCTTTAAGTGAAATATACACTTTTGAAAATGCAGCACTTGGGAGACATGCTTCAGAGGTTTTTTTTTTTTT